AGTGCTAACATTAAAGCTTCCAGAAACCCTCGGGAAGCCTCTGGCGACAACCTGGGAGGAGGCAGCAAAACTGGAATCAGCAAAAGATAGCAGTTCAGGCAAATTACTTCCCACAATCAATAATACTGTGTTGGAAAAAATAGAAGTGATTAATGAAGGGGATTCTGGTCTTTGTGAATAAATGAGCCATATGTGCTGTCTGGGAGCTCTGTTGGCACAGTGGTTAAAGCATTTGGCTGCTAACCAAAAGGTTGGTGGTTTGAACCTACCAGCCATTCCACAGGAGAACTATGTGGCAGTCTGCTTCTGTAAAGAGCTACAGCCTTAGAAACCCTGTGCGGCAGTTCTACTCTGTCCTACAGGCTCACATGAATTGGAATCAATTCTACGACAGTGGGTTGGGTTTGGTAGGTGCTGTCTAGCACCTGAAATATTGTTTACATTAATGTCTTTGAAGTAGAGGAATAGAATTCTCATCTCCTGAAAGTTCTTTATATGTCTTTTTAAAAAATTTGTAAGAAGTTTTTTAAAAAATTGTTTTGTAAAGGTAAAAGAAATAAAAAACAAGATGAGAATTCTCACTTTTCAAAAACCACATTTTTATTGCTGTGAAGTATTATTTGTGTTTGTTCCTCTGTGTCATTGATTTTTCAACCTTTGCCTTCCACCAGTGCAAGTTTCCCTCTTCTCCCAGGGACCATCACCAAGGGAAGGGACTGTGAGAGTGTTTTCTTTTGACAAAGCCCCTTAAAGATTCTATTTCTGCTATTCCTTCCCCTCTTATAAGACTCATAGCTCTCCATACAAATCTTATTTTGAAATGCCCTGTCAACAAATGTTTGTCTTTATGATTTAATTGTAAAAACTAGAGCTACAAAAAAAAAAAAGGTATCTTGCTTTCCAACACCCTGAGTGAGGAAGGTTTGAATGTGAAGATAAATGTGCTTGTGTGAGGAGTGAGTTTTCTGGTCTGCTATTCTTTTTTTTTTTTCCCCCCAAATTTACCAAATTTTCTGCACAAGTCTCCTTTGCAGTACAGAGAAGTTGTGGCATTTTTGTGGATTGCAAACTTGTAAAATTTGCAGCTCATCCAGGGAATTCAACTTTAAATACTATCTGGATTTGCTGCCAATGTAAACAAAAAATAATTGTTACCTGCATTTTTTTTTTTTTTTTTTGTAATTTGCATGAATATTTTACTTTTTTTTTTAAGTACTGTTTTTTTTTCCCAACTGCACTTAAAACCATAGTTTGGCAAAAAATAGTTTCATATCTTGACATTTTAGTTATAATATTATGTCCTAAACTTATCTGTTAAAGGTAGGCATTTCAGATTTACAATATTTCCTGTAAGGTTTTGTATTTTTCTTTACTATGGTTTCATCATAATTTCATTGCTTTTTTTCTTTGTGCTTGAAATTTGGCTATTGCATATGTTATGTCCAGTGCATTAGAATTGAGGAAGTATGAGTGTTGTTATCTTCAGAGGCAAGTAAAAGAAGGATTGAGGCAATTATATAGATGCTGTGGGTTTAAAAAGCATTGCTAAGGGGAAAAAAGGAGGATTTGACCTTAATTATTTAGACTTTTTATATTAATATAGTTCCCTGGGTAATTGCTTAGTTCCTCACTAAGTTATTCTACTTATAAAGTAAAAATAAAACCAAGGACTTTTCTGCCTTTGTAAAAGGAAAACAACAGCAAAATAAATGAAGAGAGTAAGAGTGTATGAGAAGGAAGGAGGAAGTCATTCATCCTTTATCTTATCTCTTCTTTTGTCTCTTCCTTTTTTGCCCCCATTCTTACCCTTTTCTTTCATTCAAGTTTTGTCTGGACTTCTTAAAAAATAGTCTTTGTGCAAATGCCTAGGTATAATCTGAACAATAATGTTTTCCCAAGTTAATGGGAACTGAATGCAACCCAATTAAAGCCCCAGTTTTTGTGGTGTGTGTGTAAATTTATCAGACTACATGCTAGAGTGAAAAGAGAATAAATAAGGATTTGTTTACGAGCTACTTGATGTCAAAATATTCTATAAAGCAGTAATAATTAAAACTGTGGTATTCTTAGCAACTGGACAGAATAGAGCCAAGAAACAGACCTACGTGTTTTCAGAGCTTTAGAATGTGGCCAAACTGACATTTCTAGCTAGGAGATTTAATACTGATATACAAGGCTATCTATGTGGAAATAAGGTTAAATCTCAACCTTAATCTAGAAACAAAAATAAATTCCTGTGGATTCAAGTTTTAAGTTTTAAAAAACATGAAAAATATAACGTTGGGTAATTCAAACTCACTAGCTGCTCCATGGGAAAAAGATGAGGCAGTCTGCTTCTGTAAAGATTTACAGCCTTGGAAACCCTGTGGAGCAGTTCTGTTCTGTGCTATAGGAATGCTACAAGTTGGAATCGACTCAATGGCAGTGGGTTTTGGGAGATGGAAAAAGCCTTTCCAAAAATGACAACAAAACCTGAAATCATAAAGGAACAGATTGATACATTTGATTTTATAAAAATAAACTTCATATTAAAACATCATAAATGTTTTAAGAAAAGGAGAAACTGGGAAACAATGTATGAAATTTAATGGTCAGATGTATAGTTTTAATGTATAAAATAAAATTGGTAATAAAACATCCTAATTATGATGGAATAATTAAAACACACAAACACCTGTGTACCTACTATCTGGCTTAAGAAATGAAATATTACCTATACAATTGAAGGCCTCCTGACTGTTCCCAGAGGGCACTGCTTTCCTAAATCCAGTAATTTTCCTTCCTATACATTTCTTTATACTTCTTATTGCCCATGTAGGTATGTATCCCTGTATCAATCAATATCAAGTCAGAAAAAGAGAAATCATCTGAGATATTTCAGGCAGTGAGGAAGTTAAGGTGGAGAATTAAGTACAGAAGCATAGGAAGGACTGGTAGAAAGTTATCCAGAGATCAGAAAGTTGCTGCCACTCCTGGGCCAGAGCCCATGGGCCCACATGCCTGCACTTTCTGCTTTCATAGTTCATGCTAAGACTACATTTCTGCTGCTGACCCAGGGGCCCACACTCCTACTGATAATAATGAAATTGCCTGTCATGGTTCCATTTGAATTGAGTTTAATTTTTAGATTGAATTAGGGAAAATTTCCTTTTTTCTTCTAGGATTGACTTTCCTATCCATTGTCATGGTTTATCTCACCATTTATTTGGGTCTTTTTGTAATGTCTTTCAAGGAGCTCTGGTGGTGCTGTGGTTAAATCATTGGGCTGCTGACCAAAAGGATGGTGGTTTTAACCCACCTGCTCTGTGGGAGAAAGATGAGGCAGTCTGCTTCTGTAAAGATTTACAGCCTTGGAAATCCTATGGGACAGTTCTACTCAGCCCTATAGTGTCGGCCCTCAGGCCCTTGGCACTGAGTCGAAATTGACTTGCCTTGATGGCAGTGGGTTTTTAATGCCTTTCAGTGAAGTCATGGAAAGGTCATGGCCATTTTTTGTTATATTTATCCCTAGATATATAATTTGATTGCAATTAGAAACACTATGTTTCAAATAATTATATTTTCGGTTTATTGCTGATGTAAAGGAATGCTACTGATTTTTGTATGTTGATCTTATATCTAGCTACCTTGATGAAAATGTTTTCAACTCAAAAATAAAAAAGTCTGGCTTCTTTGGAAAAAAAAATTATCATAACAATTGACAAATGACCACACAATAAGCCAAACATGCTTTGTTCCTTTAGCATTTCTTAATGTGCATTGCTGTTGTTGTTGTTATGTGCCATCAAGTCAGCCCTGACTCATAGCAACCCCTCCTTGGGTTTCTGAGGCAGTATCACTACAGAAGTAGATTGCCCAACCTTCCTTCTGAGGAGTGGCTGGTGGGTTTGAA